CTTGGGTAGAATTTCCCCTGACATCACTGTCACATTACAATTATTTTCTTTGCTTTCTTGAAGACCTTGTGACTTACGATCTAAATTTGTTTTGTTTAGCTTTCTTCAATGGTACTGAAATTTCTTCTATGTTTCTCTTCAACTTGATCTTTGTATCATCTTCTGGGGTCATACCCAATTTTTGGAGATTTATCGAATTTCCACATTCCTTGGCAAAGTTCTGGTCATTTGTTTCCATTGTATCATCTACATTATTCATAATCCTATTCAAATCTTTCACAACAGGATCCTCTAAGGGTTTCTCTCCATGTATCACAACATTCATCAGGTTCATCAGCTTGGTCATTTGCTCTTTTGAATCATCCTGAAACTTTTTTTTTTGCATGATCAGTCATTTCTTGTTGAGTCTTGATAAGTTGCTCTTGTAATTTCTCAATTCTACCAACCCTTGCTAAAATCTCATTCATGGCTATTATCCTTCTTTAGGAAGACCAAGTTAACTCCACTTTGATTCTGTCATGGAATTCTCCACGAATTATTCCACGTTGTCATGATTAAATGCATGTAAAATAGTTTTAAATAAAATGTAATTATGGAAATATGAAAATGTAAATACAAACGTAAAAATGCAAATGTAAATGCAAATGTAAATATATGAATGTAACAATAAAAATGCAAATTGTATAATACAAAAGCAAATATAAGAGTAAATGCACAATGAAAATGCAAAGATGCAAAATGCAAATGCATGTATGAAAAGGTGTTTACTCAAGAGTGATCATCTTAGAACAGATTTCATTTAACACAAAAGTTTCGGTACATCAAACAAAACTTTACATATAAGGATATCTTTCACTCCTAACTTTTTCAAAGCCCAGTTAGTTTCCATTCATGCTCAAAAAGTTGAGTCTTCAGTCTGCTTCATTTCCTTGTAAAATCAGCTAAATCTATCACTTAAGAACCATATTATTTGTCTGGACTGCAACTTCTTCCATGACATTCTCTTTCATCTTCTGTGTCATTTCTCGGAGTTGCTCATTTTCCCTTGTAAGAGAACCTTTCTGTCCAAGAAGTTCTTGAACAAGATCCTCATATATGTTAAAGCTCTTTTTCAGCTTGGTGACCCCTATTATCCACTCTTCTGGGGTACTTCCTAGGCCAGCATTTTGAAAGGTTTGACTGATCTTCTGAAAATCTTCATGCATGGTTTTCATTTCTGTGCTTAATTTCTTGTTTTGGTCGTTCAAGTCCTTCAAATAACATGCTTGAGCTTCATAAAAACCTCCACTACTCTGAATACCCTGACTGTTGTTCTTACCATAGACTGCTTTTGGTATCAATCTGATAGGATCTTTGTGTAACACTTTTGGTATTAATATAACCGGTTCTCTATGTACAAAACTTCCCTCGATCCTCGTAGTTTCTTCAGGATGTTTTTCCTTGGCCGCATCATATTTTGTTTGATCATAAAACTTTTTGTCCATTTACGATTTCTTTCCAATTTGATGAACAGTCTTTCAAGTCAACACCTTTTGGTTATGTCATGATCATGTAATGCAGACAAAAGAATATAAAAAAATTAGAGCAATGTAACATGCATGGAAAAATAAGAAAACAAAAATAGAATAATTAGTACCAACTAATGGAAAAAATATATCAATCAAGGTATAAATCTTAACCTCATGCTTTCTAGTTCCATGCTTTGTTTGGAAAATTTAACCTAACCGCATGATTTCTAATTCGCATGCATTTATTAAAAAAATTAAAACTTATTTCTCCTTTGTGTACACCTATGAACAGAGGTTCAGTATTGTCTTAGATCAGGTGAATTTCTAGGGTTTATTATATGCAGGGTTTCAATTCTAGGAGTAAAGGTACCAAATTGTCCTTGTTAGTACCCCCTTGGGCTGCTAACCCCTATCATAGTCCATCACAGACTAAGTGGATCGAGTTCAATTCGAGGGGATACACTTCTCTATGCTGACACGTAGATAAATTCTCACGAAACATAGAGTATATGAACCCCGAAAGCTACTTGCTAGGTCTGACACGGAGAATAATTCTCACGAAGACGTCGCTTTCACTCCCACTTAAAGGGACAAATCTCATTATAGAGATTATATTTATGCAATGCATGTGTTTGTGTGAGGATAAATGTTCAAACATCTGACAGATAATAATGAAATAAAATATTTGAAAATAAAATAAAAAAATAAAAAATATAATAAATATTATGAAAAATAAGTAAGTAATAAAATTTTGAAAATATTATGAAAAATAAGTAATAAAAATTTTGAAATAAAAGAATTAAAATTAAATAAATATGATTTTTTAATTTCTAATTGATAGAGACAATTTATAATTAATTTTAAAGTTTGACAAGTTCCCCAGCGGAGTCGCCAAGCTGTCGTAATCGGTTTTCGTCCGGGCACGAATTTTTTTACTTGGCGGGAAAAATTATGTGAATAAATTGTTTTTAAAATAAGTTGGGAGTCGCCATCGGCCTTTTGGGTCAGGTCGAATACCTAAAAATCATCCTTTAAAAGAGTTTTTAAGAAAACATCGATTAAAAGATAAACTGATATGCGTTTAACCAAAAATTCATTCTTTTAATAATAAAAAGGGATTCGTATTCGGTTACGTTTAGGCAAGGATTAGCACCCCTACAACACCCAAAATTGGTACTTTTTAATTATAAATTATCTCTATTATTAGAAATTAAAAAATCAAAATATATTTAATTTATAATCCTATTATTTTAAAATTATAATTATGAAAATATATATTAATTTATATATTTATAAATAAAATATTTATTTATTTAGAAATATCAGAAAATGACTTCTAGGTGCCTTAAGACAACTCTTTTCTTTGATATTAAAAAATAAATAATAATTAAAAATAATATATAATTAAAATAGGATATTTATTTATTTAAAGATCAGAAAATGGACATCCAGTTGTTTTAAAAACAAAGATTATTATATATATATTATTTATATAAATATAAAAAAATATAATAAATAATAATAAAATATATTGCAATAATGATTAAAATAAAAGGAATTAAAAATATAGTATTAAAATATTAAAAAAAGATCAAAAATGAAATTTTAATGATTAAAATGTAAAATAAAACTAGAGTACTAATTCAAAATATATAAAAGATGGGCATTAAAAGTGTAATTTAACCATAATTCATAATACGGGATTAAAATAATAATTACTAAACTATGAGGGACTAAATTTGATATTTACCTTAAATATATTATTTAATACTGGCAAGGACTAAAACATAATAAAATAAATTCGAAGATAATTAGAACATTCAGAAGTTAGTTTCAGTGACTAAAATGAATAATTACAAAACTCAAATGGCTGCGGAAAGGGTTTGGCCATGCGCGAAATTAACATATATACCCCTCCCAAAACGGCGTCGTTTGGGAAGGGGTATAAATGCCCCAAACGGCTGGCCCGAAGGGCCAGCTCTCTCATTTTTCTTTCTCTTATTTCTCTTCTTCTTTCTAAATGAGAGAACCAGAGTTCTCTCTGGCCTCTCTCAGCTTCCCTCATCGGAGGGAAGCGGTCACGGCCGGCATCCTTGTGCCGCCGATAAACTCACCACCGGCCACCGCTTCCGGTGGTCGGAAAAACAAAAACCTCCCGAACGATAGATCCGAGTGATCTACGTTCAACTTTGTCCTTAGTTTTCGTTAAAACGTCTCATATTTGCCTAGATCTAAGAAAAATACCTTCAGTATTTTTGTTTCTACGGCGGCCTATGAACTCCGGGACATCGCAGCTTTCGGTAAGGCTTCTCTTAATTTTGCTTTGATCTTTTGATGGTTTTGGTTGCTGTGTTCTCTCTGTCCCTTCTCCTCTTGTTTGCAGGTGGTCGATGGTTTTTATAACCATCGACGGTGTGGCTCTCGGACCGGGTAAAAGAGGACTGTTCGGTGAGTCACCAAACTTCCAGTGGTGACTCACCGTTGGGGCGACATGTGTACGGCTGGAGTGGCTCTTCTGGAAGCTTTCGACGAGACATGACAGCGGTGGAGATGGGGAGTAGCTGCAGCGGCCGCGTGGCCCTAGGGTAATGATACCCTAGGGTTTTGTCTGGAGCCATCTTGGCCGTTGGATCAAGTCAGATCCACGGTGGAAAGAGAGAGCGGCTGGATGAAGATGTTTGAAACCTAGGGTTTCCTTGCATCTGGGTTGGGTCTCCAGATCTAGGCCGGTTCTAGTTGGACCTGAATTGGGTCATTGGGCTCCAGGATTTGTTGTAATGGGCCTGTTTGTAATAATATTTATTAATACAAATATAATAAATAAAATATTAATAATATTGAATAATAATAAAAAATGGATAAAAATTAGTATCTTCAGTTGCCCCTCTTTGCTCATTCTTGTGTAACAATAATAGAGCAAAGACAAAAAGATAATAAAAATTTATCCATTTGACTTCACTTGATTATGATGGTAATGTTGAAAGTTCTTATTTGGGATTAGTTCTTCTTATTATGAATTTTCCACTGGAGATGACAATTTATCTCCTTCTGTGATATAATCATGTAAAGGTTGAATAAGTTCTACTCCTTATTCTTCAAATGAATTTTTCTCATTATGAGCACTTCTAAAAATATTGATGCTAGTCTATCTCTTTATGGATAAAAATTAGTACCTTCACAAAGAATATCATAATATGATTTTTACTTATAATAAATTAGTATTCTTGTTATTCCAAGTCCAAATCATATTAAATCTCGCCTTTTTTATATGTTATCTTTACCAAGTTAATCTTAGTTTATTACTTTTCCACTCTAAAATTTCACTTCATTGTTTTCCCGCTCCAGTCCAAAATTCCTAATAGACACCGATATCAATAACAAGACCAGTATGTTCTTAGATATGATAATACCTATCTTGTGAAGATCGACCACATTTAGAATGTCGTCCCATTTGTTTGTTCATACGGTATCTTATTAATGTCCATTGAGGAATAGGAAAACCCAGACTTTCTTTTCAATCTTTTTATCTCCCGGCCATCCAAAGAAGGCAATATTATAATAATACAACACACAATCTGCGTCTGCGAAAATCAATTCATATACGTTCCATGTAGGTTTTAAGCCAAAGAAAAATCGGAGCAGATTCTGTCAAATATTTGAGGGACCATCTAGATACAGCCACCCCTCAGTGCAAGCACGAGATGCAGCACAGATCCACCCTCAATATTGTAGTCACGCGCTGTTGTCATCTGCAAGTTGCTTCCCCGCATATATAAGCCTATAACATGTCAAAACATTTGGGTTTAAATTAAAATGGTAAGATGACTCAAAACATGCATTAACTTAACAAACTCTAGAAGCAGAGGACTATGGTTATGAACTTAATCCAAGACCTGGACACTCGAACAAATCACAAATTGGAGCAGATACATGTATACAACCTATGATCCAATCATGTTTTCCCTCTTGAAACAGGAAATCTATACCATGAAATACGTTCCAATGCATAACAAATAAAGAATATATCCAAGTGCATCAAATAACATGCTTTAGATTTAGAGTGGCATACAAGTGTAAGATCGTCAAATTTTATGTCCTGTATACGAGGCTGTGAAGTAAAACTCTTTTGTATTTGTACACCTTTGGAGAAATATTGTCATGTAGTACACCAAAGAACTTATATTAGCCAATGGAAAATAAGAAATTCAAGATTTGAAATCAAAATAATAATGCAAATAGAAAAAGCATGTCATCAATCAAGTAATCCTAGAGATGCATTCAGTAAAACAGAGAAGACTAAGATATGTACCTTTGCTGAACTGGAGGAATTCTTCTTTCTCTTCGACTCGTTCCTTGATACGATCAATGGTATCAGTTGGTTCGATGTCAATTTCAATTTCTTTTCCAGTGAGCGTCTCACCTTAATCATGGTTCCTCCCCTAAGCCTCAAAACAAGGTGAAGAGTGGACTCCTTTGGATGTAATCAGCCAGGGTTCGGCCATCTTCCAGTTGCTTACCAGCAAAAATCAACCTCTGCTGATCAGAGGGATACCTTCTTTATCCTAAAATGGGTAGTAATCATGAAGAAAGCATTATGTTAAAACAACACCCACTTGGGAGGGCACAAATAGATTGAAACCAAATGTCAGAAAACAAAGAAAGATGATAAAAGTTCTTCTACTTATAAACAATTCAACCAACACGGAATTTGATTTATCATCACTTCAATGTTTTTCTACAATAGTCATTACTAGGAATGTCAGCCAATCAGATATTTGTAATTTTTTAAATATCCAAATGCAAATCTGCTCAATTTATTCCAAATGCAAACTTGTTTACTATTTTGTATGTGTACCTGCATCTGGTTTCAAATGGCAAATCCATAGTAAATCCAAAGTTGCTAAATGTATCAACTCATTAAACCATTTAAAAAATAACTAAATATGTAAATAGATGTCAGATAAGGATATTTGAATAAACTATCAGCATAAATATGGTGGATTTGGATAACGAATCAATATCCAACACCATATGAACCAAAATGAAATTGAATTTGGGTAACCAATATCCAAGTTCAAATCTGAATTTTCTTCAAATCCATCGCAAATAGCAAATGTAATATCTAAATCCACAAAAAAAAAAAGGATTGGTTAATTTTGGATCGAATGTTTTACAATTCATTGTCACCCCTAAACCATTTTCTATGCAACTTTCAGAAAACTACAACGTAATAAAAGAAGCAGTGATAGTAAATATTCCTTAACACTAAGTTTGTAGTTCATAAGAGGATTAAAATAACCACACGAAAAAAATATAAAGGAATCATTCTAAAGATTTAGTTATCTCCTGTAAAACTAAGTTCGAAATTCTGCAAGAGGAAAAAGAAACCCTGAAAAGACAGCCAAAAAATCGAAATTGAAGATTAGATCATGTGTAACGGAATGGATTAAGAGAAACCTGAATCTTCGCCTTGACGTTGTCGATGATGTCGCTGCTCTCGACCTCGAGGGTGATGGTCTTCCCCGTTAGGGTTTTGACAAATATTTGCATCTTCGTCTAGGTTTTCAGTTGCTGCAAAAACAGTTAGGCAAAGCATACAAAGCATTATTTCTCTAACATGATTTTCGGAAGACAAAAACGATATTGAGAAGCAGATTTTGGCTGAAATTTTTACCTTCTGTTCCCGAAGTCCGAACGAACCGATCACTGACAACTTCGTGATTGGACTGTTGAGATTCATCCGCTATTTATTTTCTCAGATCGAGTTTTGGACTCTTCTTTGGGCCTCGGCCCTTTTTTATTTGTTTTGGTTAACCTGAAATCATTTAGATTTATTTATGTTTTTAGTCACTCTACTATTGATATTCAGAGTTTAATCTTCTATGCTTATGAAAATTATATATGTTTACAAAGCATTAGGTGAGACACGAGCTTGCAACGGTGAGATCTAACCATACTCGTTTATGGAATATGTATACTTCGAAGTTTGTTATGAGTTCGATATAAAATGCTCCTTGATTATAAATTTAAAATAATTAGGTATAAGTTAAACTAATATATAAATTATTTTGTCAAATTAATATCTGAAAATTTATTTTAAAAAATAGTTAGACAAAGACCATTTTCATTTTAATTTTCTTAAGAAATGAAAAACACTTAAAAATCATGTTTGGTTGAAAATTTTAAACAAATTTTTAAAAAAAAAATATGTAATAAATAGAAAATAATAAAACTTATTTTCATTATTTTAACTGATTTTTTTATAAATTTATTTTAAAAAATAGTTAGACAAAGACCATTTTCATTTTAATTTTCTTAAGAAATGAAAACACTTAAAAATCATGTTTGGTTAAAATTTTAAACAAATTTTTAAAAAAAATGTAAAATAAATAGAAAATAATAAAACTTATTTTCATTATTTTAACTGATTATTTTTTATAAAATTATTTTTTAATAAATTAAGTGATTACAAATAATATTTATTCTAAATACTTTCACCTGCGACCTCTTACATTAAAATAAATTGATTTATATTTTTTCAACAATTTTAAATATCAGGTTAACATAAGGGACTTTAACCTGATTAATTGAGTAGAAGTAAATCCATAAAAACTGGAGATATTTTTGCAACAATTTTTTAAATATAGGTCACTAATCTTACTTCGAATTTAAATAAAAAATGGGATTTTTTTTTTTTCATTATAACAACAACACAACAAAATCCTATTCTCATATGCATATATAAGGGAGGTAGGATAGTAGGTTGCTTTCAACGTCATTGAAAGTAATTTTCGTGGGAGACATCCAGTTAGAAATTAAAAATAAAGATAAAATGCAATGCATGTATAATAAATATAAATACATATGAACGGTCTTCATATGCAGTCTTCATATGCGCGTCTGTAATGGGAAGTAATCCTTTCAAATAAATCCCTGTGTAAAAATCTCTGTATATAGACAGAAACGTAAGACCCTGCTAAATTTAAAAGAGGTAACCTGAAGAGAAGGATACACAGAAGTCAACGATAGCAAGCTACGAGAAAGAATAAAGTCAAATGAGTTAACACCTAAACTAAGAAAACACTATTCCGCTACCCAATTCTAAACCTTCATAAATTTCAATGATAGTAACATATATAAATAGAAGTCATGAGAATTACTACAAAGACATTAAAAAAAAAAAAGACAAAATATACATCTGTTACCTGTAATACTCAACTACCCATAAGTATCCAGAAATAGATAATCAAATCTCTTTTCATATTTTATTATTGAAAAAAAAGAACACCAAATATAACGAAAACAATACTCTCCTATTTCTTCTCGATCCGTGTAGGCCATCACCTCTGGCTGGAGGAGAACTCTTTTAACTCTAAAACTCCTTTTGTCGGTGCATTTGATTAGAAGAAAGTTTTAGGAAGAGAAGGAGAAGGAGAAGGATTTTTTTTTTCTCTATGGAGAATAGATGCAGAGGCTGCGTGTTGGATTGATGATGGACATGGACTTGAACATCAACACGAACCTGGTGCTTTACAACTCAATTTCCAGATGCCTTCTGATATTGCTTTCAAACGATTCACGCCTTGGTTTCGTTTGTTCCTTCTCCCGTAACCCTAATATTATTTCGTTCCCTATTTAGAGTTGAGGTATTTATTATGTTGTCTTCCTGATTTAATCTGTTTTAGTTTATGGATTCCACATATTGTTTTATCAATTGGTGTTGATTCAAGCCTAGCAGAACCATAAGCTTTGTATGATTGTTCCTTTGTTTTTCCTTTTTGACATTCCCCACTTTCGCTTTCTGTTTTTATTTGATTCCAAGTAATACTAATGATTAGGGATTACTTGGTGCTTGCTGGTTTGGATTTTGCTTTTGCACGAATTTAGTTTTTTTTTAATACTGCCGTATTTTCAGCAAAAGTGTTTGCTTTATAGGATGGTTATTTTTGTATGAACAAAGTACCATAGAACCTTTAAGAATATTTTGAACCCCTCAAGCCATTGGTTATGTCCAATTTTTTCCTTTACAAATTTATTTGGTATTGCTTGTCAAGATAATTGGTGAAGGAAGCGAGGTTGAGATTTTTCTATTTATGCTGATTTTAGGGCAAATACTTGTTGTTCAATAGGCTGGCTGTTTCTTTTCAGTTTGAACGAACAGTAGACTGTATCTTTGTCCAGGTCACCAAGAACTGTTTCATTCCGTGTTGTCAAGTGTTACAAACAGAAGAGGAGTGAAGGAACTTTATTCAATTTCAGCAATTAATACTGATCAAAATTGAATCTTCCCATCAGCACCCCTTTTAAAAAAGATGTCTTCTACAAGAGATAAAGACAAATTATCAGGTTGGACTGCCTTTGATCTTAAGCAGAGCAGAACAAGGACCGGAACCGGAACCCGAAACTGAAAATGACCCTTTCCCTCCTATCGCAATTAGCTTGGCAGCTCTACATCTGATTGAGGACATATTGTTGGCTACCAATGATATTCATGAGGCTTCAGATTTATTGAAAGAAATGATGCCCAGAAGCGGCACTGAGGATGTCGAGAAGCAAAAAATAAGGAGATCGGATCCAGCACTGCTAATGTTCCAGCCAGTGCCAACTCTAACACAAGTCTTGCTTCAGGAAAAATAGCTGAGCATGTTGGCCAGAGCTCTAAAGCTGATGAAGGGATGGGAATCTTAAAATGTTGACAGATGTGCAAAGAAACAAACTCTTTTATCACTCTAATATGAAGTTGATTCCGGGACAGTTGACATCTATACCTATTGAGCCTTATGGGAAGAAGATGTATACTTAAACCATCGAAAGGATGCTATAAGGATGATGAGGTATGATTGCAAGGGTTTATATTAAAATAACACACACCATGCTTGACTTTTCATTATTAGAATGACTTGCCACTAGTGCATGCATCTCCATTTAACACCTTGCTGTGGCTTTTGGATCTTGCATGATTGTAAATGTGTTGCACGTACAGCCTTGTGATATAATGACATGTAAGATTTAAGCAAGATGTGAGTGCATAGTGATGCCTAAATAGTTAGGCTTAAGGTATTTTTGGAAAAGATCACTATTTAAAACATTATGAACATGTTAAGGCCTTTGAAATTTCCAAGCAAACACACAGTGACATTATCTCTAATTAAAGTGTCGTGAAAGTTCCTTATTTCATTCGTTTTCAAAATCAATAATGAAGAAGAGGAAGTATAAACTCCTTCTAATGGAGTAAACTCCCAAATGAGTTGTAATTTTATCAAATCCCTACTTCTAAGGACTTTGCGAATCATAGGAGAATTGGGAGATAAGGGTAGTTTTTCTTTTTACCATCTTTTAGCATTTTCTTGTTTATATAAATATTTGAGTTATGAAAAGCTTACTGAAGTACGCAGAAGTAACTCTTACCTCTCCTCCTTTTCTTCTCGTTTGGAGTTATATGTTACTTCTTAAGTTTATTCTGGCTGGACTCTCTAGATTCTAATTATATATTTTGATTAAACCCCTTTCTGACAAACGGCCAATCTTTCTTTGAACTGCTCACGATATTTGTTCTATGTATTTGTTGGAATGTATTAGAAGTTTGGATTAAATAGCACTTACAGTGAAGTTTGACTTTAATATACTTTTTTTTCTCAAACATTAAAGAATTCCAATTCAGCCCACTTGGGCTAATCAACTTTTTTCCTGCCAGAATGCCTCTGTAACATTATGTGGCGATCATAATCAAGTTAGTTGGGCTCGAAGGGGAAAAAAATGTGAACCCCTTTCCATTGTACACCATGCGGCAAAAGTAGGGTAGGCAGGTTGAAAGACTTAATACGATGCTGACATTTTATCAAGTCTTTGTCATAAAGTTGATGACCAATTGCATTGGTACATTTGAAATTGTAGAAATGCTGCATTTTAAGGACCACAATCTAATTTACCCTGTAGTAAATTTATGAACATACCCGTATTATCACATTGAAGTACATCTAGGAATTTTTGTTTTTTATTTTATACAAATAACTTTATTTTTAAACTATATTATCATTAAGCAATTCTCTCGCCAAGTTTGTTTGTCTCTAGAAGTTGCAAGGTTTGGAGGACATTTTTTTTCTATATTTATTTATATCTTCTATGGCCCATAATACTGTGCTGATTTGTATGTTCTTGTTGATATGGGATCATATAAATTAAATTTAGTACATTCTGCCTGCTGTTGATAGATGCTGGGAATTCCTTTTCATGTACTCTACCTGTTGAACAGGTCAGCATCCCAACATTCTAGGGCTGCCAGTAATGCATTTTTGAGAGGTGACCATTTTGCTGCACAGCAGCACTCTCAAAGTGCTCGAGAAGAATGGTTAGCTGCACAGAGACTTAACGCTAAGGCTGCTAGAGAATTTTATGCATCAGAAATTGTGACAATGACTTGTGGAAATTGGACCTACATGGTCTTCATGCAACAGAAGCTGTGCAAGCCTTGCAGGAACATTTGAGGCGGATTGAGACTCGGTTGTCGGGAGGCCGTTCAGTTTCCCCAAACGAAGTAAAAGTGAATAATGAGGCTCTACATTCTTCATCTGTTGACACAATTAGTTCTGTGGATAAACTGTTTAAACCACAGACTTCATCTAGGCAGACACCTGCATCATTACAAGTTATAATAGGTAATTTTGTTTCATTAGAGAAATACTTGTCAGATTCGTTTTAATTGAAATTTTCAATGGAGACATTGCTTCTGAAAATTATGTATCGATAGAAGAAACATT